CCGGTTTTACTCTTCAGAGTCCTTCTCTGCGTTGTTTTAGGATTGATACTAATAGCTGTACGCTCTACTTAATCACCCTTTTTGGGGGTCTGAAAAATAACTAACTGCCTGCTTGCTCTTCTGCTTTTGCTTCATTTGTCCCTGACACGTAATTTTTCCATTGATTTCAGCTACCTTTTAATCGATCGATTAATTTCTAAGTTCTCCATTAAATTTTAATGCATGCATTTTTCTCGTATTACTACCGGTTGTTTCTTTTGCTTCGGTTATCTTTTTATCTTGATGTTGTTACTGCTTCTTTTCCATGGCTTCTCGTTAATGTATTTCTTTTCAACAATGTTGTAACTATGCTTTTCCTTAGCTGAGGGTCTATCGGAAATAATCTCTCTACCTTCATAAGGTAAGGGTGAGGTCTGCGTACACGCTATCCTCCCCACCCCAGACCCCACTTGTAAGATTACACTAGGTTTGTTGTTGTTGTTGTTGCATTTTTCTCCTAACACATGCTATGTGTATTTCACAACTGGGTTAGTCTTGCATGACACATAGCTGGTAAATTTGCAAATCTTTTCCTTTATTCGGTTGCTACTACTTGAACCATTCAGGGGTGCAGATATCAAATGTTTTATCTTTTAATGAACTTTTACTTTCCAAGGAAAAAGATCACTGCTATCTTTATAATGTTTTAGTTGTTATAAGATACAAAAAGAAAAGAAAAATCTGAATGTGTTTCTTATTCTCCTCACCTGAATACTGCTATCACTATTGTTCTAGTGTTTACTGTGAAATGCCTTCTCTTTGATAATCCAAAGGACCCTAGTCAATAAACTGGACGGAAAGAAAAAGTGGTTCATTGCTTTGTCTAGCGTTTATCTCATGCAATGACAATCTACAGGTTCCAGATATTTTGAGCTGATATTTACTTTCTTTTCCTATGTTTCTTCTGTTCAGACTTTTGATTGCTGTTCGGTTTGTTGTACTTGGGCTTTTCTTAACATGGAGAGTGCAACATCCCAACAATGATGCAATTTGGTTGTGGGGGATGTCCGTGGTTTGTGAAATATGGTTTGCTTTCTCATGGATTCTTGACCAATTGCCCAAGCTTTGCCCTATCAACCGTGCGACTGATCTTGGCGTCTTGAAAGACAAATTTGAGTCACCTAGCCCTAACAATCCTACTGGGAGATCTGATCTCCCTGGCATTGATATGTTTGTCTCTACCGCTGATCCAGAGAAGGAACCTCCTCTTGTGACTGCGAATACTATATTGTCCATTCTAGCTGCAGATTATCCTGTGGAAAAGCTTGCTTGCTATGTTTCTGATGATGGAGGGGCTCTTTTGACTTTTGAGGCAATGGCAGAAGCTGCAAGTTTTGCTAATTTATGGGTACCATTTTGTCGTAAACATAACATTGAACCTAGAAATCCAGACAGTTACTTCAGTTTAAAGAAGGATCCATATAAAAACAAGGTAAAGCAAGACTTTGTTAAGGATCGTAGGCGGGCAAAGCGTGAGTATGATGAGTTTAAGGTCCGTATCAATGGCTTGCCAGAGTCCATTCGCCGTAGGTCTGACGCTTATCATGCAAGGGAAGAAATTAAGGCCATGAAGCAACAGAGGCAGAAGACTGAGGATGAACCTGTAGAGAATATAAAGATCCCAAAAGCTACGTGGATGGCAGATGGAACCCATTGGCCTGGGACATGGTTGAATTCTGGACCTGAGCATTCCAAGGGTGATCATGCTGGAATAATACAAGTAAAATTCTCTTAACTCTCTACTCTGAATTCTTTGGAATTCCACCTACAATCACGTTTACAAATTGATAGGTTTATGTAAGCTATTAATATGACCATGTTTCAAATATGCAGGTGATGTTGAAACCTCCAAGTGATGATCCACTGCATGGTAACAGTGAGGATGGGGTTATGGACCTGACTGATGTTGATATCCGTCTTCCCATGCTTGTTTATGTTTCTCGTGAAAAGCGCCCTGGATATGATCACAACAAGAAAGCAGGCGCTATGAATGCCCTGGTTCGAGCGTCCGCGATCATGTCCAATGGTGCATTTATTCTTAACCTTGATTGTGACCATTACATTTACAACTCCCAGGCTATCAGGGAAGGTATGTGTTTCATGATGGATAGGGGAGGGGATCGTCTTTGCTATGTTCAGTTCCCACAGAGGTTTGAGGGCATTGATCCGTCTGATAGGTATGCCAATCGCAATACCGTATTTTTTGATGGTAACATGAGGGCCCTTGATGGGCTACAAGGTCCAATGTATGTGGGAACTGGATGTCTCTTTCGAAGGGTAGCCCTCTATGGTTTTGACCCTCCTCGCTCCAAGGAGCACCAATCCGGTTGCTGTAGCTGCTGCTTTGGTCGCAGAAGAAAGCATGTTAATACACCAGAAGAGCATCGGGCCTTGCGACTAGGTGATTCGGACGATGAAGAAATGAACCTCTCACTGGCTCCTAAGGCTTTTGGGAACTCAGCAGTCCTTATTGATTCAATCCCGGTGGCGGAGTTCCAAGGTCGTCCTTTGGCAGATCATCCAGCTGTGAAGAATGGACGGCCGCCTGGTGCTTTGACCATTCCTCGGGAGCATCTTGATGCATCAACTGTTGCAGAGGCCATCAGTGTCATCTCCTGCTGGTACGAGGAAAAGACAGAGTGGGGACAACGTGTCGGATGGATTTATGGTTCAGTTACTGAAGATGTTGTCACAGGATACAGGATGCACAACAGGGGTTGGAAGTCAGTTTATTGTGTTACCAAACGTGATGCATTCCGAGGGACAGCCCCTATTAATCTCACTGATAGGCTCCATCAGGTCCTTCGATGGGCTACTGGTTCAGTTGAAATCTTCTTCTCCCGAAACAATGCCCTTCTGGCCAGCTCAAAAATGAAATTCTTACAGAAAATTGCTTACCTCAATTGTGGAATCTACCCCTTCACATCAATCTTCTTAATTGTCTACTGCTTCCTACCAGCACTGTCCCTGTTCTCCGGTCAGTTCATTGTCCAAACACTCAATGTCACCTTCCTTGTGTACCTCCTGACTATTACAGTCACCCTCTGCATGCTTGCGGTGCTCGAGGTCAAGTGGTCAGGCATCGAGTTGGAGGAGTTGTGGAGGAACGAGCAGTTCTGGCTGATTGGAGGGACAAGTGCTCACTTAGCTGCTGTGCTTCAGGGGCTCCTGAAAGTTGTTGCTGGCATAGAAATTTCTTTCACCTTGACGTCAAAATCAGCTGGTGATGACGAAGACGATGAATTTGCTGATCTCTATATGGTTAAGTGGACATCCCTCATGATCCCACCCATTACAATCATGATGGTAAACTTGATAGCAATAGCAGTTGGTTTTAGCAGGACAATATACAGTGTTATACCACAGTGGAGCCGTTTATTAGGGGGTGTATTCTTCAGTTTTTGGGTTTTGGCACATCTCTATCCCTTCGCAAAAGGGCTTATGGGCAGAAGAGGCAGGACACCAACCATTGTCTTTGTATGGTCAGGACTTATTGCTATCACCATTTCCCTTCTTTGGGTAGCAATTAATCCTCCAGCTGGCACTACGCAAATTGGAGGATCATTCCAGTTCCCATGATCATCTTATCTTTCGGAAGTTTAAGCAGCCCTGATATCGTGGCAAAAAGTGCTGGTATGTTTGACTCGTTGCATATCAATTGGAGTTGTATTTTTTTTTCATCTCACCAATGAAATTGGTGTCATACAAGCTGCTCAACTATTTTTAGCATAGTGGAAGCAGAACTAAGCAAGTTTAGTTGAGTTGGACTTGGATAGAAAATATTCAGCATTTTTTGTATCATCTTGGACCGGAATTATTCATTTAATTGTTTGGTTTACAACACCATTGATGTTAAGGAATTGCAATATGCATTTTTGTCATTGAACTGTCCCTCTTCACTTCTTTCTTCTGTTAATCATGGAAATTTTGAATATCTGGCATCTGGTTTTGTGAAGCTGATTTAGACTGGAGTAAATTGACTCTAGAGTTCCAAAGTAAGATTAAAAAGCTTTTAAATTTTTCTCTAAATCTTGAGATCTTTCTTCATCTTTTTCTTCTTTTTTTCTTCTTTATTCCTGTTTGAGAACTTGAATCATGTGATATTGGTTAATTCTCTTGTTAGTCAGAGGATTTTATATGGTAGAAGTAACCTAAATTCTTCAATTTCCTCAAATACCCAGAAATTCTCAATTCATCAGTTAAAGTTAAAGTGTTGTCTTTTCCTTTAAATTGTTCAAAAATAACTTAATTATATATAGTTATTTTGTCTAAAAAATTTAACCATCTTCTTCTACTGCCTCTTTCATTTATCTTTNATATATATATATATTGTGTGTGTATAACTAAGGGCCCGTTTGGCCATAAAAAAATTCACTTTTTTCCGAAATTTGTTCACTTTTTTCCGAAATAAGTGTTTGGCCATAAAATTTTCCATTTTCACTTGAAAATGAATTTCGAAATTTTTCAAAAATTTGAAAAACTCTAAAAAAAGTATTTTTCAAAATTTTCACTTCAGATTATTCACAAAAATTCAAAAACAGCTCAAAATATATGTCCAAACAGAACTCTAATTTTCAAATGCTCCATCCGTTCACTTTTACTTGGCACATTTTGACTTTTCACGCCCCTTAGGAAATAATAAATGAAGTGCATAATTTACCATGATACCCATAATAATTGATGCATTTTATTGAATTTGAGAAAATGATTTGAAATGAAAAAATTGTCTTCTCTTGATATGTGTAAAGTGATAAGTAAAAATCAAAATCTATTTTTAGTATACATGTCAAGTAAAAGTGAAAGGAGGGAGTACCATTTTTACTTGAAAGAAGATTTCACTTTTTTTCTGAATTTTATAATTCTTATGTCCAAACGACCACTAAAACGTCCCACGACCAAAAAGATTTTCATTCATGCAGGCGGAATGAAGTACAGTTGTTGAGCAGCAAATTTGCATGTTTTAGCTAACTTCCCATCTAAATAGTAGAACACCTAATATTTGTATTATCCAATAAAAATAAGATCATCAAATGATCCTCCTTAAAGAATCAAAAGTCATCAATTCATTGATACACCATAAACCAAACATGGCCAACAATCCTAAGACCTTGTTTTTCTTACTCATAATGGTGATTTCTTCAGTTTCTGCCACAAACACTACCTCAAAAACCATAGATATTTTACAAGCCATTGATGAAATGAGAAAAGCCAATTACTTCACTTTTGTCATGCTCATTAACATGGCCCCTCCTGACTTCTTTCAAGGAAACATCACTTTCTTGATGCCAAAAGACAAGACACTCTCCCAAACCTTAATCTCACAAAATGATGTTGCAGATTTCTTGCTCCAACATTCTATCCCTTCCCCTTTACTTCTCGAACACCTCGAACATTTTCCTACAGGTTCTATTATACCAACTTCAAAACCTGACATTGTACTTAAGGTGAACAATTCTGGTAGACAACATTTCTTTCTCAACAATGCTCGAATAGTTAGTCCCAATATATGTACTGGAAATGGCTCTATCATTTGCCATGGCATTGATCAAGTCCTGGAATCTACCACCTTCTCATCTGATCATCATAACTCTACATTTTTACCCGTTCCGTCCCATTGTCCCAATGTCACAACCCCACCGTTTGTGGTGGCAGCTCCTCCTCCTGTCATGTCACTGCCGCCATCAGCAGAGCCAGTAAGGAGTGGAAGTTTTAATAATCCGACCCCATCGTGGACCCCACTGATGAAATCTGGTGCTCAGTCGATACTGCAGCTAAGGGATGCAGTGGTAGCTGGGCTGCTGTTGCTGCTGTTGGTGTGATGTAGTTCATCTGTTTGATTCGAATCTACTAACTAAAATCAAGAATGTGATTAAAGATTGTGTACATGGGGGGCAGATGTGGTTGTGACTTATAGCTAATAGTATTTGATTTCTTGTCTATGAGATTTGTTTGTTTAAAGATTCAAACAGATTATTGTTATGTGATCAGTTTTAGTTCATGAAACTATAGAATGATTTGAAGTTACTTACTTGCAAAATATAGGATTAATCAATTTTATGGTACTAATATAATTGATTGAATTTCATTTAGACAGATATGGATTTGCTTTGACTAAGGTAGATTATGGGAAATAGAAGGAATTTCATTCCTACCATATTTACAAGCTGAAAACAACCCTCCATTTAAAATGTTCAAGAAAAGATGTAGAATGGAACTCGAAAATAAGTGAGCGACTATTGGTACTAGCTTTTTAAATTTTTGCCAAGTTCATATTTTTTACATGAGGTAAGGAGCAATATGATATTAGCTTAAAAAAATAAGTGCGCAATAACAAATTAACTAATGTGGTATTTGTGAAATTAACAAAATTAGTAAGGACTAACTATGAATTTAAGAGCCTTCGCTCCATATGATCGAACTTCCATAAAATCTTGTAACTGCAAGATACTCCTCTTTTAAGAAGCAGATTCCGGAATCAAAATGTGATTTTTTTAAACTCAAAGAACCAAAATATGTGAAAAATAAATTGGTGACCATAATATATATAACGTCCTTTTATAAGGCGCTATACCTTAACGGCCGTTTGCCCAGTTAAGTATAGCGCCCTTATTTAAGGTGTTATATTTGAACGCAAACATGCAGAGAGATAAGAACCAAGATGATGTTGTGGTATTTTGTGCCCTAATGTAGTGCTCGTATTTGTAATGTAGTGCCCTTTTAGTGTAGTAAAATGTAATGCCATTTAACTTAGTATCTTTGTAGTTATTTAAATTAATCATTTAAGTACATGTTAAACCCAAAAATATCTCAAAAAAACCGATAGTTCAAACACAATCTCTCTCCAAACATATAAGATAATAAAATAACATATAAAATTATAATATATTTTAATATTAAGAGCTATACTTAACGTTCTCTGCCCNTAGGTTCTTAACTACTATTTATTGCAATATTAATAAATTTTTATATATATATATATATATATATATTATGGTCACTAATTTTTTTTTCTCACACATTTTGATTCTTTGAGTCCAAAAAAATCACATTTTGGTTCCGGACTCTCTTTTAAGCTTTTCGTACTCCCTAAAATGTCACGTAGCAGATCTGGACCACAATCTATAGGTTCCACATCCTAGTAACTTTTATTCTGATCCCGTATATATTAAAAATTATTAAATAATCATAAATATGTTTGTGTGAATTCAATTATTATTATTATTATTATATATGATGTCCATATAAGAACTAATAAACATCAACTCTTAGCTAGATCCGCCTCACTCACTTAATAATAACCAACAATACACATTGATGAAACCAACACAACAACGACTGCCTGCTCAAACCAATTACAGTACACCTTTCAAAGTACCACCACTAGAATTATTGAATTCTTCTTTATGACATGACGAACGAGAAGAAATTAACCCCAAAATTGTCAATTCTAGCTTTTGATAAAATATGGCATTCGACTACTTAATAACATGTCGGATCGGTGGAGGTGCGAATTCCACCATTATCTAGTCTTTCTTCTTCCCTATTTATCCTGTGAAATAAAAGGAAGATGATAAAACGAGATGTACTTTCTTTTTTTCTCTCTCTATCGTTCCATTCTATGTGTGTGATTTTGTTTATATTGTCGGTCTCAAAATCGAATAAAGGAGGAGGATTACGATAATCTGACAGTGAGGAAAAAAACTTGTCTGATTCAAAATGAATCCTCATAATACTTCTTCTTTTTTGGGATTTAGGTATATTTATTTGCATCGTTTTACTCATTCAATTATGTACTATACGGAAATAGAATATTAATGGTCATATGTTATTTTCATAATGAAAGGACATTCCGTTACACAAAGCATCCCGTGTTCATGCAGGTTTGGAAAAATGATGGCTCCCCGGGTGTTATGTAGGCAGTCTACCCTGATGCAAATATCAATACTGTTTTCATAATGGTAGAGTCAAATTTCAAAAAGAAAAAAAAACGTAAGACTTTAATTTATGAATACTAGATCACGTATGTCTAATTCGAGATGAGCATTTCATCTAACAATAAGGTAAAATTTTAATGTATTACTACTATATGGGTTCAGATTCCCTCGACCGCGAAAAACAATTGTGCAAAATAAGTAGAAACAACAAGAACGACATACTGTAATTTTATAAGTGTGATATGGAGAAAGTAGGGTACCCTCGGCTCAAGAAAAATATTTTCAAAATAGGTTTGAAAAATACAAGAATAATAAATTACGATAAAAATACTAAAGAAAAGAAAAAAATTGACAGTAAAATAGTAAATATAACAAATAAGCAAAAAAAAAAAGTAAAACGAAAAAAATGAAAGATAGAAGAACTGCTCTCCTAGAAAATTAATTCTCATTATCATTGTAGGTGACATTGAAAATGAGAGATGAACTTTGGGGTATCACATCTTGCAGCAACAATAAAAGTCCCACGTGCCAGCAATAACACAAGAGCCATCATTAAAGGATCTCTTTATGCAAAATGCCAAACACTCGTCGTTATAAAATGATGTCGTGCACTCATCATAGCAAAGTGAACTCACTTGTTTTCGATCTGTTCATTTAAGAATTTGAAAAAAAATCAATAATCTTTTTTTATAACTATTTCTAAATGCAATAAACCAGTATGAAATGTAAAAAAGGAGCAAGATAAATGGAAAAAGTGTTACCAAGATTCCTTGCAATAGCCAAACCAATGATAGCTAGAAATACAATGAGAATACATGAGTAGGAGGATCTGCACCAAGCCATTGGAGCTTATGATTTGTATTTGCTTTGTTATGGTCGATATATAAAGCTAATGACTTAGGCTTTGGCAAGTATTTATAATCCTGTTGTGACAAATTTCAAAAGGAAAATATATAGGGAATCCATCTTTTATGGGAAAATCATTATTACAGCATTAAATTTATTAATGCAAGTAATGAGTTTCCAAAATAGCGGAGGTCTCCAAATTATTACGAGGACCCGAGGGCCTTTTTTCTTGGGAGTTTTCTTATGTACAGTGATACCTCTATGTAATAGCATCCTCATATAACAACCATTCATTATAAAAGTCAAGCTTTTTTCGGAACCGATTATTATGTTGTGTTATAATATATGTCCTCTATAACAGCGCTTCACTATAGCACCTAAAAAATATCGGAACAAATGAGGATGTTATAGAGATGTTTGACTATATACTATAATAGACACTTATTTACCTATTTTCTTTAAGTTTTGTAATTTTCAATAAGTATCTAGATTTTTCTTACAAATTGTATATATTCTCCCCTTAAAAGGCTCCCACCCCATTATTAGTGCTTTCAATAAAGGGATTCAATTAAATTCTTTCCTTTTTTCCCTCTTCTCTCCTCTCTCCTCCCCCCTCCCCCTATTCCCTAATTTCTTCGGTTTGTTTGCCTAACACACTCATCCACAAATGGTCCATTCGAAGTTAAAAAGACACATGATTCTCGAGCATACATACATACAATTTCAAATTTTAAGATTTTGTGATTTGTGTGGATTAAATGTTCTTGCAAGTGATTGAGAATAGATTTTGGAGTTTATATCTCAATTTTGAGGAAAATTGGTTAAGTATAGATGTAACGACTCGACCGGTCGTTTTGAGCTCTAGCGTGTCGTTCGGCGGTTTGAGACCTTGAGTAGCTTCACTTCAGGTCTTATGACTTGTACGTGTGGTCAGAATCGAATTTCGGGATATTTCGAGTTGATTCGGGAAGGATATTCTAAATTCAGAAGCTTTAAGTTGGAAGAATTGACTAAGGTTTGCATATATAGTAAACGACTTCGGAATCAGGATTTGAAGGTTCCAATAGGTTTGCATGATAATTTCAGACTTGGACGTATGTTCGGGTCGAGTATCAGGTGACCCAGAATATTTCGGCACTTATCACGAAAAGTTAGTATTTTGAAGGTTTAATAATTCCTAAGTTTGGGTTGGAATGGATTTTTATGTTATCGATGTCCGTTTGGGATTTCGAGCCTGGGAATAGTTTCGTATGGTGATTCTGATCTTATGAGCGTGTCCGGACGTTGATTTGAAGGTCCGTAGGTCATTTCGGCGTCAATTGGCGAAAGTTGGAAATTTGGATGATTTTGAGAAGTTTGACCGGGAGTGGACTTTTTATATCGGGGTCAGATTCCGAAAGTTGAAATAGGTCCGTAATGTCAATTATGACTTGTGTGCAAAATTTAAGGTCAATCGGACGTGATTTGATAGGTTTCGACGTCGATTGTAGAAGTTTGAAGTTTCAAAGTTCATTAAGTTCGAATTGGAGGGTGATTCGTATTTTTAGCGTTGTTTGATGTGATTTAAAGGCTCGACTAAGTTCATATAATATTTTAGAACTTGTTGGTATGTTTGGTTGGGGTTTCAGGGGCCTCGGGTTCGTTTTGGATGCTTAACGGATTGATTTTTGAACTGAGGGAATGTTGGGATTTTTCTGGTTGCTGGTGTAATCACACATGCGGAAAAAGGGCCACAGGTGCAACGTCGCAAAAGCGGCCAGGCAAACGCAGAAGCGGCTCGCGCAGGTGCACATATCGACAGCAGGAGCAGCTCTCGCAGGTGCGCATATGGACCGTAGAAGCGGCTCTCGCAGGTGCGACCTTCTAGGCCGCAGAAGCGGAAATCAAGACCGGCAGAACCCTTTAAGTTTGAGGGTTCGATATTTTCACCCATTTTTCGAATTTTGGATCTCGGGTTGGGCGACTTTTGAGAGAAATTTCACCATACAACCCGGGATAAGTGTTCTTGACTCCATTGTAATTATATTTCATGAATTAATCTTCATTTTTGGTGTATGATTATCGAATCTTCAAGGGAAATCGAAGAAAATTTTTATAATTTTACAAAAACGAATTTTCTAGTTTTGAATTCCGATTCAGAGTCGGATTTGAGTGAAATTAGTATGGTTGAACTCGTAATTGGATGGGTTATCGGATTTTATGAGTTTAGTGGGGTTCCGAGATGTGGGCAACTTTTCGAGCGGA